TTTGTTCCCCTGTATTACTTGTTATTTCTCCATCACCCCAACCAGTCCTGGCAGAGGCCGCCCACACCGAGCCCGGTTCTGCCGGAGGTTTCTTCCACCCGGGAGTTTTTCCTCCCCGCTGTTGCTCATGCTTGCTCGGTGTGGAAGAAGTTGGATTTTGTGTTTCTTAAGATCTTGGACTTTTGTGCAGCACCCTGAGACAACTGTTTGTTGTGATATTGTGCTATATAAATAAATTTGATTTGATTTTGAAATTTGAAGTCAATGCTTGATCATGAAAAACTGCCCATCCACTGCAAAAAAACAGAAAAAGTGAAAACTAACCGTAGGCCATTGAAGAGTTGTTTGGACTTGTCCAGGAGGTAGCAGAAATCTGTGACAGTCTTCCTTTCACCTAATGGAATATCATCCTCAGTCTCAGTTCCAGTCATGACACTGACTTTTCACACCTAATTACAAACAAAAAATACTATATAAAGACAGTGCACAAGTAAAAATATTTTTGAAATACTGATAAATAAAAACTGATTTAAAATACTGTACCAGGTACCATTTTTACTGGTGTGATCTTTTAATTTGTTACTCTTAAATGATGAGAAATACATTACAGAACTAGTGATATATATCATGTTGCTGGTTGCAGATGTCTTGAGTGTCATACAAATGCCTCACTTGAATGTGTAAAAGAATAATAATAACTTGAATATATAGAGAGCCTTTCAAGAGATGCAAGGACGCTTTACATGTGTCAGTGGGGTGGAGCGTTAACTGAGGCTAAAGGCTAGGGTTGGGTATTGTTGAAAAAAAAAAAGAGAAAGAGGTCAAATGTTTGGATAACAAAAATGGTATCATTATCATTATTTTATTAGTAGACTACTATCCAGTTCAGTGTGAAAATTAATATATTAATAATATATTACATTGGTAAGTGGTTGAAATATTTCCCTAAGAGTTATGACAGCACTATAAGAAGCAGGTACATCATCAGGATGTGCATCGGGATGTGCACAGACATTTTGGGGGGCAGGGGCTCAAGTGAGAAAAAGGCACTTCTCACAATTATTTATTCAAAAAACATTTTAAACAAAAAGTTGAATATAGAAGAACATCTCTGACTCACTTAATTCATTTTATGACCCTCGCAATTGTTTAAACTCAACTAAACCAAGTGAATACCAAAGAGACAATTGTCCTCTTTGGAATTCACTCAGTTTATCACAAGAGCAGCATTTCAATGTATCACATCCACAATTTCCTATATTACTGCACATGGCTGCTTTTTCATCAGTTAATATTAGTGAAGAAAATTAGTCAAATATGAACAAATATGAAAGTTTTTATTTAGAAAGCTTTAAAAAGTATTATAGACTGTTACTGTTTTTAGAAGTGTGCTGTAATTTACAAAATTAGGTTTTCAATTCATAAATCTACAATGGTAAGTGGTGACAGTGGTCAGTTCTCTCCACACTGACATTCATTTAGTATGGATTTGTGTGTTACACTTAAGGCTTAAAAGGACAAACTCTGATTATAGCCTCTACTGTATCAAGGTGTTGCTAAGGGGGGCCAGGCTTAGCAACACCACTGCACTGAGGCGCATTACTCCACAGGTTAACAAGTGACCCTGTCCTCTGATGTTTTCTATTCACTCACACTTAGAACTGATCTTTATAAAAACGTGATGAATTGATATTTATGTTGGTGGATAAACGAGGCGTCACTTCTTCTGCATCAATGAAGGTAAAACACTGCGTTGCGTCTTGACCCTGATGTCCTGACTGTGTCATGTTACATCTCGTGTTGTGTAGCAGGTTTAAACACGTGTCTTATAAACTCAAGAGAATTGAACAAACACAAAGTAAATGTCAGTCCTGTAAGTGTCCTAATAACTTGCGATCAGTGCTGTTGTTTACTGTTAAGTGTAAAGTGAGCGTAGGTCAGAGGGGGAGTGAGGAGGAGGAAACAGACTCCGGCAGAGACTCTGACACTGGACGACCGGATCTTTCATGAGCGTCTGTCCTGATCCTGGACCAGTGGTGTTATAATTATGCAGCGACGGGACTTCACTAAAAACAAAATGAATTGTCACTAGTGCTCACCACTGTGCAGAGACTAAGTATAATCTCCCAAACTGATGTTTAGATTTTTTAGTTAATCAATATTGTTGACAGGGAAGCTGTGCACAAACAGTAGTATAATTCTAAGTTATTCAAAATGTAAAGAAACAGGGCACTTTTCTCTTGAGCAAGAAAAAGCCCCCGTTTGATGTCTATGTGTGCATGTGTATGTTTGTGGGTCTCTCCCCGGCTTGCCAATGTTTGGCAAGGCAGTCTAAGAAATTCTCATAGCCCTCGGTTTGTAGTGTGGGTCGGAAAAATCTCAGTTTCGAGGGCTGTACAGCCCGAACACTTGGCCCTCCCCTTCTATCCCAACAAGTTCACAGTGAGCACATGTGACATGCGTGAAAGAGTCTGGAGACGCCGTGATGAACATTATGCTGCATGTAACATCCTCTAGCATCATGGGTCATTGATGGTCTGAGCAAGCATATCTTTAGAGGGTCGCACAGAATTCCCAGTCATAGCCAATGGTACCCTGAGTGCTGTTAGGGGCTGGAATGAAATTTTCAAAGCAATTGTCAGGCCTTTCAATGAAGCAGTGGTTTCCAATGACCGTTGTTGACCGACGTCATATTTTCTCAACAAATTATACAATGTACATCAGTTAAGAGATTTTCAACTTGAATAATTAATTCACCAAGATCTGATGTGTGTTGAAGTGTTCCCTTAATTCTTTGGAGCAGTATAGCCTACCTGGGCTTGAGTCTTCAACTGAAATGCCCTCTTCTTCTTACTAACAGCAGGATAACTGTTAGTAAGACCTGGCCATAGCTAACAAATGCTAACATTCACTGTTGCCAAACTGCATTATCCTAACTCTGACATTTTGAGGGTTAGGGTTACGGTTAGGGGCTCATTTTAATACTGCAATAAAACTGTACTGATAATTATATACTGATAATCTTGTTCACTATAATCATGATACAAAATGTTCCCACTGTCTCATGTCTACACTCAAGAGAGACGTTGATGCCAGATCTAAACAAGGAAGATTATCATGTGGTCAAGTATGATTGTTTTTGATCATTTGATCCATAATAAATGAAAAAAACAATTACAATCTGGTGATGAAACAATGTTTATTTGTTTCTACATTTATGTATTTATTTGTGTATTTCTACATTTATGTATTTATTTGTGTATTTCTACATTTATGTATTTATTTGTGTATTTCTACATTTATGTATTTCTAAGTTTTTTAATTAATTTAATTATATATTTCAACATTTGTCTGTATTTCTACATCTATTTATTTTAGGGATGCACGATATATATCGGTCCGATATATTATTGGCTCCATAATGGGAATTTTATATTATAATTATTTTTCAATCGGAATCAGAGATTATAGCCGATAAAACGTCCGTTAAACAGAGCGCACTTGGAAACCCTCATGATGTCGTAAATCCGTGCCTGTCAATACCAGCATGATGTGTTTACATTGGAACTCAAACTGCGTCGCCAGTGTGGAAGTTTTTCACACTTTCTGAGAGCAACTGTAGGATTGCAATTTGCAACAAATGTGCAAAGGTTCCAAGAGGGGGAAAACTTTGCAAATTTAAACACTATGGATCTCATAAGTTACCTTAGAGTCCGTCATTGCGACGATGATGTATGGCGAGAAAAGCCAATGTCAGTGCAGCAGTACCTATCCAGCAGGCATTTGAGAACTGCAGGAAGTTTGCAAGATATAGACCACAGGCTCTTGATGACCAGCTGTTTTCCATGGTATTGCAGTCACCCCTACTTTTCAGATGTGTCCCTGCTTGCCCTATATGATGTGGTCGCTGCACATTCATAGTTTGATAGATGCCAACGTAAGCCACATAAGTTTTACCAAGGACATATGGACCTCTGACATCAGTCTAGTGAGTATTGTTAGTTTGACGGCTCAGTGGATGGATGATGATTTCAATATGAAACAGACATTGTTGCATGCACTCGCATACAGCAGCCTTTCAGTTCTATAAGAGCCTTCTTTTTTTAATGAAGGATGCACGTTATATTATGTTTCAACTAATTGTGTTCAATAATTGACATTTCTATTGTCAGAAAATTTAATTTATTCAAAATTGTAACATAAAGGCCAAAGTATAGAGAAACCTTCCTTACTCTCATGCACTAAAAATACATAAGCTATCCTCAACCTTTTTCCTTTTCTTTATTGAGCATAATATTCCATGTGCTTTTGTCAGTTTTTAATCAGGTTTTTCAGCCTTTATTTTTGAGTGCACATTATTTTATCTGAATTACTATTTTAATACATTGACATGTGTCAAAATATAAATTTTCCTTCACCACTTAAAGTTGTCTGAAGTTTTCTGATGTACTTCACTTAAAAACTAAACGAACGACTTCCGGTGGGACGGTCGAGCTCCCGCATACCAACATATTAAACTCCGCTAAAACTCAAGATAAACGACAATAAGCCTTGAAATTGAGATTATGAGCAGAGTGCCAACAAGAATAAAGAATAAAAAGAACCCGGACACCAAAGGTAAAGAAATAAATCGATCGATTAACGAGAGCAAGCTAGCACCTGAAGCTAGCATGGCCTCGTTTCAAAGCAGCCTGGACGGCATCAGCAAGCAAATTCAAGCCCTGCAAAACGAAATGAAGACTGACCTAAAAACATTCAAAGACGAAATTACAGTGTAAATGAGAAACGAACTGACAGAACTTAAGGGAGACATTGATCAAAAATTTGCAAAAATGAACACGGATATCGGTGAACATGATGAGAAGATCAGCGCTACTCTGACATGCACAGAAGAACTCGAGACGTGGAGCTATGAAGCAAACGGTGCACTGCAGGACATAATGCAAGAGCAGAAAATGATAATGGACAAACTAGACAATTTAGAATCTAGGTCCCGTCGGAATAATTTATGTGTGTATGGCATACAAGAGGAGTCCAAGAGTGACTCGGTCGCACAGTTCATGGATAAATGGCTCTGTGAGGAATTTTCCATAAACTCGGACCTTCAGATTCAGCGCGCTCACCGAGCCTTGGCTCCTAAGCCAAAAACGGGCCAGCCTCCCAGATCGATTGTCATCAACTTCCATCAGTTTACTGTGAAGGAGATGATACTGAAAAAAGCATGGGAGAAGAAAACAACCACCCTCGGAGGAAACAGGATTTATTTTGATCATGATTACTCGGAGAGGACACTGCAACAACGAAAAGCGTACTTTAACGTCAAGAAGGTCTTAAAGAGAGAAGGCATCCGCTTTCAGACACCTCTCAACAAGATGCCCATCCACTGGTCCAGCGGCGTGAAAACCTACGGCAGTGCGGAGGAGCCAACTATTGCATTTGATGATAAATTTGTACTGGGAAAATATGATGGTAGATTTAAATATTGGGCAGAAAAGGGAATTACAGCCATATGTACAACTATTAAAAGAGGTGAAATGAAAAGCTTTCAAGAACTAAAGAATACACATGATCTAATGAATCAGGACTTATTTAGATATCTACAAATGAGGGACTATTATATTAAAAGTATTAAAACAACTGAGGATAAAATACATCCCATCATAAAGTTACTTGTACAAGCTTATAGCCAAACTATTCCGAAGGCTGTGGCGGTTCTGTATGGCTGTTTGAGGGCTTCTAGAACAGATTCAACAATA